TGTTCACTTAGCCTTTGGAGTCATCCGTACCATATAACTCTAGCTACCATGCAGCCTGACAGGGAAGTATTTTTAATATATTCCAGAAAGTTTATAATTGCCCATAACACATTTTTCAGAAGGTGGAAGTAATTTTAAGTCCTTTGCTTACATCACAAGAACAACTTCTTTCCCATGGAAATGGAGCCCCAGTCTTACATTCAAAGTCAAGGGCAAACAGGACTCAGTATACAGAAATTCCTTTCACAGGCAGCTCAGCAGGCACACTGCCACTGTTTTGTAAATCAAGGGACACCTGTAGTGGCAGAGCCACTGAGCCCACCAGAGCTCCAGGGATGCAGATGAAAGGAATGCTCCCAGCTGGGTGAGCATAGTCAGGGAAGACTTCCTGGCAGAGGCATTCTGGGGAGGCAGTCACTGCCCAACTGACAGAAATGGTTCCCAGACTGAGGAGATAATGGCACTGCCCAGCCCTGGCTGGAAAGAATCATTTATGAACCCCTAATTATCTCTGATACTCAGTAAGCTCCACACCCACTTATATCCTTGGCATCTCCCTGGCCACGGACTGCAGGGACAGGAGGAAGAGAGGCCACATCTGGCCCATCCAGCGGGCAAACAAGGCCTCTGACCCCCAACCTCTCCTCATCTTGTGTCTGCGTCTTTTTGGACCAGCTCAGCTTGTTGGTGGAAAGGGGTGGGGGTGGGGGTAGAGGGAGTCATCACAGGTTCGGTAGAGTTCTCATATTTCTAGGTCTAAGCTGTTCCCTCCTGAGGCTCCCTGCTTCCTCTTTAGGATTGGGTTTGGGGTGAGCTGGGGTTTCATGTGGAGAAGGGTCATGAAGGGGAGTTGCTCCTTACATAGGGGGAAGTTCTCTAGGAACGGGGCATCCAAAGCCTTGCTGAGATTCCCCACCATCTCCGCTCTGTACGTGCCAGGGTGACTATATCTGTCCCTGAACAGTCAGAATGGAATGTTCCAAGGATGGAACTTGGGTCTCCCCTCCCCCTCTCCCCTTACTGGCCTGTGGGTTGGAGGAGGGGGAGAGGGTGCTGCTTAAACTACTCCTCTTATGGTGATGCTATGGGGGGACCTGGCTATCCCTGCCAAGAGCCTGAGGTCCTCCCCTTGTCCCTCCCTCCCATACTTGTCTCTTCATCTGGTCTGACTCCTAGCCAGTGCTGGGGTGTAAATCAGGACCTGAGAATGGGAAAGGACTTTGGGGGGGCACTGGTTAGGAACAGAGCCTTTCCCCAGTTATGCATACCTAAGACATGGGAAGGGATCACTCAAGGTATGATGAGCCTGGCTCCTGACCCTGGTTTGGAGTTCAAATCCCTGGGGGGCATTTCCAAATTGGGCAAAGTGCTTAGAGATCCTAGGATTAAAGATGCCAAGTAGCCTGACTCAGCCTGAATCAGCCACCCCAGAGGGCCCAGCCTGCCCAGCCCTACTTGGCCCAAGCCATAGGAAACCCCCGAGTCAGCTTCCTTGGGTGCCTTCCTCAGACTCAGCATCTTTAGACCAGCTCCACAATCACCTCTCCCAAGAGTCCCAGCCCTTAGTGTCCTGGGTGATGCAGCTCTAGGGGTGGGGGGCGGGGGGGAGGTGGAGAATAGCAAGTGAGGAAAAGGTAGAGAGAGGGAGGGAGCAGACTGTTTGGATTTGATTCTTCCACTAACTTACTCTGTGAACCTCAGTTTCTTCTTCCATAAAATGAGGGGGTTGGACTGTATGAGCTCCAAAGTCTTTCCAGCACTGAAATACTGGGATTCCAATGGTGCCCTTCTCTCCCCAGTAGCTGGGGAGTCAGGATACCTGAGTCTATCTTGGAGTCCATCCAGGGCCCCAAGCCTTAAGGCCTGGTCAGCAGGGTCAGTGGGTGGAGGGCTGGCAGCATCCTGTTATTTCTGCTTCATGCTTGGTACACGGCCCTTTGGGTAGGGAGGGGGGGAAGTGGGTGGCGGTGTGCTGCAAGTGTGGAGGGAAGAAGCAGGAAGAGCAGACTTCCATGGAGATAAAAAATGGATCTCCCAATGCCTTAAGTCCATAGTCCCACTGGGTCCTTCTTTCCTTAGGTCCTGAGAGGATCCCCAGGGTAGAGATTGTCTCCCTCTCAGACGCAGGATCCTGAAAGCTGGATTCCCTCCGCACCTTCCATTTAGGGCACTGTGTTAGGAGCTGGGCCAGACTGGGTTTTCCTTCTTGGGGATCCCCCATTATGGGTTGAGTGGACAGTTCTCAACGGATAACACAGCTGGAAATAGTTCAGATTTCTAAGCCCAGAGAAGCTAGTGTTTAGGAGAGCCTGGGCAGAGTGACTCTTGCCCCCTCTCTGGGGGGAACACCCCTGAGCAATGACTGCCTAATCTCTGTGATGGGGTCAGGGTGACCAGGATTTAGGACAATTCCAGTGGTGTACTAGTGGGACTGGAATGCCTGTGAAGAGTTGGCAGAAGGACTAGGATTTGGTGGGCAGCCGAAGAAGGAATCTTGGTCTCAGAGTCCCCTAATGCTCTATCTTCCCATTTGTAGAACCTCAAAGACGGAGACTAGGAGTGCCACATTGCCCCCTGGTGGTTCTGCCTAGCCTTGCAATCTCTTTTTTAAATTCATTCAAGTATCCAAAACACCCACCAACTTGTCCCTCTCTTGCCTTCCATTTCCCAGGGGCTGCTTGCTGAGCAGGAACATGCCCAGGGTAGAAGCATTTCAGAAGGATCTTAGGCTGGAGGGCTAGAAGGGACCTTAAAGGTCACATGATCCAGATTCCTTATTTTGACAGATGAGGAAACTGAGACCCTGAAAGAGGAAATGGCTTGCCCTGGGTCACACAGGTATTATTGGTGGAACAGTCATTCCAACCCAGGTTCTCAGACTCCAACTTCAGTGTTCTTCCTGTTATATAAAGATGTTTCTTCAGGACACCACAGACTCAGAGGAGGTTGCAATTTTTGAGAAGTAGGGACTCCTGGAGCTCCTATTTGAATATAAGTGCCACAGGGGCAGGAGCCATCAGCTTCTCAGCTCCTGTCCTTGAATATTCTAGGCCCTTAATAGGTGATTGTTTAATTATCTGCAGTCTAACTCCCTCGATCTGTAACGAAAATCCAGAGAAAGAAGTGATTTGCCACAAGTTAGTGGCAGAACCTGGCAGCTGACTCCCAGAGGGCCACTGTGATGCTTTCTACTGCACCCTAGGCCCTAAAGAGGAAGGAGCCCAGAGAGTAGACCTACATGGGCTGGGCCCCAAAGGGCAGAACCAGGGTAGAACTATAGAGGTGGAGTAGGCTTCAAGTAAAGGATGAAAACTGTCCCAAAGCCTGCCATCCTTGGGAGGGTGTAGGCTTGAGAACCCTCAATGGAGGTGTTCAAGCAAAGGCTGGCTGGCCCTTTGGGTATGTCACAAAAAGCATTCTAGCCCTCGAGGTCCCTTTCCTCCATGAGATTCTGGGAGGCAGAAGAAGAGGAGACACCAGTGCTGAGCTGGGAGACCCTGCATGGGTGTTGGTAGGGAAGGAGGGAGACTCCCGAGGCAGAGGGGGTGGGGGGAGCTGGAAGGTTGTGGGATGGGTCTCTAATTTTCAAACACTGCCAAGAGAAGAGACCATAACATCTCCGCAGCAGGCAAGAACTCCTTCTGAGTTCCCAGTTCTCCCAAGAACCTAGAAATTCTCTTTTGATGTCTAACAACAGTCCCTTCTGTGGCAGCAAACAACCTAACCTCATTTTGCTTTGTTTTGTGCCTAATCGAGACACTGCCCAGAAGACCCGTGCTGTCCCTTCACCGGTGACCTTGCTGAGGCTGGAAAGATGCGTCCATCCTTTCAAGCCACCAGTGCTACAGGATTGGCTCTGTGGTGTTCAGAGTGAGGGTAATAGGCAGGCAGGGCTGCTCTGCACCCCTAGAACTGGAATCCAGCAGGCCAAGGTACCCACCAGAAGGTGAAAAGGGCTGTCGTGTGTCTTGGAGGAATATGGCAGCACAGTTCAAGCCACAGTTGACCCTGGGTGGTTGATCAGCCCAGGGATTGAGAGGCCCCTATGCCATGGGCAGAGCCCTGGGCTGAATGCTGAAGAAAACACTAGGCCTTTGCACACTTGGAATCTCTCCAGTCAGGAGTGGAGGAGGGAGGGAAGGTGGTTTCATGAGGATGTCAGAAGGGAAAAGCACCATCTACATCCTGGAAGAAGCAAAACCCTAGATCCAGGACAGAAAAAGAAACAAGTGCAGCTGTGTGGACAGAGAGGCTGCTCTGAGAGGTTATGGGGATGGGTGGTATAAGGGAGACAGAGACAGTGAAGATCTCTGATGTAGCTATGGCCTCAGGCAAGTAAGTCATTCACCCTTCCTCAGCCTCAGTTTCCTTATCTGTAAAATGAAGAGGTTAGACTAGACAGAGGACTGCTGAGTCTCTTCCTGCCTGTGATGAGGGTGAAACCAGATGCTTTAAGGGTGGGATGCTCTAAGGCAGGGCACTGTACCCAAAGACAGATGGGGCTGAAAGGAGTCTGGCAGGGTGACATGGGAATGCCACCTACTTATAGGATCATCGCTTTACTGCTGAAAGGGACCCCAGAGAGTGTCAGATCCAATGCCTCTCATTTTACTGAGTCAACCGACCCAGAGAAAGGCTAAAGAGCTTACCTAAAATCACACAGGTGGCAGAACCAGGATTTGAACCCACTCCTCTGAATTTAATCCCCCAGCTTTCCATACAACAGCTAAAAGGCAGCCTTGACAAGGGGTGCTATTTGTGTGTCCTATGGCCTAACCAGAGGTGGGGACCTTGAGGCCTTGATTTGTTCTGTGAAGTTTGGATTCAGTCAAAGGGCCATACTTGAGGACCCAGAGGGCCTGGAACCCATCCAATATACATTTATTAAGTGCCTACTGATACAAGGCACTGGGTTTGACACTAAGAATATAAACTTTCTTAAAAAAAAAAACCGCAGTCTGCCCCCCCCCCCTAAACTGTAGGCTCTCTGGAAGCAGGGATCTTAACCAGACCTTTTATTTCCCCTGGTATCAAGCCCAGAGCTCTGCACACAATGGGTGTTTCACATGTTTGTTTAATACACAAGGGCCACAAGTAACTCTAAACAAGTCTCTGATACCTCCCATTGTTTTGAAACCAGTTTCACCACCCCATAAGAATCTGGCTAAAAACTTGCTTAGGGAGAAATGCCCTCTATTCAGAGAAGGGGTCACTGCTAGAGTGTGCAGTGGAGGCCAGGGCTTTATCAAGCCAGGTCACTGTCTCAGCCTGGGGAGCTCATATGGATCATTGCAGTGGGGTCAGCAGAAGCTGTGCCCCCCAAATGGGGCTTTGCCAGGGCCAAGGCTGCTGCTTGTCCTTAGCATCATACCAAGGGATCTAAGCTTGGGATGCAGAAGGGGGGACTGGAGCAGACTCCCTTGGGAAGGTGAACACAGGAGCTAGGACCAACAGAAGGGACAGCTGCAAGCTGCTCTATTTGCTTGGGGAGGCCCCTAAGACAGACCCCTGTGGGACATCATGTGCCTCCTGAGAGCCTGAATCACTTAGGTCCAAAAGTGACTTAGCCCACCACGGAGTCGGTGCTAGGGCTCAAAAACTAACCTCAGGAAAGTTAGTCCTGGAGTCTGGGTCTCAGTTTTCTCATCTCTAAAATGAGGAAGGACTGATTAGATGAGGCCTAAAGTCTCCTTTCCAGCTGCTCTTTCATTCCATAGTCTAAGGCAATCAAAAATCTTCATGTTTAAAATCTTGTACCCATAAGAAGCAGACTTATGCCACCTAGTGTCAGTTTGAGAGGGGCCCACCAAGTCAACTCCCTGGGCCTCCAGGTGATTGGGGTAAAAGCTCAGAGAAGTATGTTGCAGAAGGAAGTAGGCTTTGGAAGGGCTCAGAATCGGAGCGGATAGGTCTCCTGAACTTGGGATGAGGTTTAGGGGAGAAAAGAGTGAGCTAGTGGTAGGAGAGTTGGTCTCTGGAAACTAGAGAAATAATAACAAGGCAGGGAGACAAAGTGGGCTTCAAACCAGAAGAGCTAGATTCCATTTGCTAGCACCAAGCACATCAGTTTCCTCATCTATAAAACAGGGATGCCTGAACACTTGTCCTGAACACTTCACAAAGCCCCAGTATTGCTGATGGACAACTATATTTAGAGTCTGGAAATAATGCATTCAAATTTGACCACCAACTCTTTATGTTCATGCCTCTAAAAACCTCTCATCACTGTCCTCCTACCTGAGTAGATCCCATCACAATTTATGTGACCTTGGACAAATCATTTGATCTCACTCGGCCTCAGTTTCTCCATTTGTAAAAAGAGGATGTTGGACTGGGTGACTTCAAGGTCCCTTCCAGTTCTATAGATCTGACGACCCTATGACATCTCTCACATAGGGTTGTTCTATGGAAGGCATTTTGTAGATCCCAGAAACGTGCATCATTACATAACCTTTCAAGGTGAGAAAGGAAAGGAAGGAGCTACAAATGAAGAGTGTGCCAGAGTTAACTTGAAGCCTGATGACAAAGCAGGGGGTGGAGACAGCTGCTCAATGTCCATTGCATAGATATAAATGCACACCCTGATTTTTCTCAGATGAGCTCTGTCCCAGTAATCCTGGGGCACAAAATTCTCCTTCTAATCTGGCCAAAGCTGATTAACAAACAAATCCTGGAGAAAGGGAGGATCGGATGCTGGACAAACCACTTTATACCATTAAGGGAAAACCTCTGGGGAAGATGATGATCACTCTTTCCCACTCATCTTCCCTACAGCGGGATTAGAAAATCACAAGGTCAGATGTGGCAAGGTGCTCGCAGATTATCCAATCCAACCCCTTCGTTTTGCAGAACATTGAAACTCAGACAGCAGAAGTAATTTTATAGAATTATTTCAGAGCAGGAAAGGACTTCAGAACATGGCAGGTTAGAATTGGAAGCATTTAGCAGGTGAGGAAACAGAGGCTCAGAGAGTCTGAACCACTTGGAGAGGTCGAGCAGCTAGCACCAAACAGAGAGCCAAGATTTGAGCCCAGGTCTTCGGATGGAAAAAGCTCACGCCTTTAGCTTGCCTTCATCCTGTGTGCTATTGCACACCCTCCCAGCCCCCCAGGTGGAAGGGACAAGGCATAGGCCTAGAAAGTGCCTTGCCCAAGGTATTCAGTCTCTTCCCCTCCCCCCCAAGGGGCTCACCTCTTTGCCTCCAATCCCCATATCGGCTCAGTATGCCGAAGATGATAGACGGAGGAGAGGCAGGCCAGGAAGGTTCAAGGCCTCCACCTAGGACAGTGAATGCAGGGAGCTTTCAGGTCTGCCTCTGAGTCAATAACCCCAGTAGGCCCTGGCTCAGCTTCTCCAGCCACAGGATGCCAGCTTTGTGCTGTGCTCATCCTCCGCTGGAAGTCACCTGGCAGCAGAGCTCAGAGCAAGGGGGCCCAAGAGAATTGACAAAGGCCCCAGGACTGGCTCAGGTGCAAGCAGCCGCACAGTTGCAGCCCCAGGCAGCTTTCAAACAGCACCCCAGGGCCTGCCCAGGTCTGGGGCACTTGGGAAGGAGGATCAGAAGTCAGTAACAACAGGAGAAAGCAGAAGTGGGGAGAGGGGAGCACTTAACTAGGACATCAGGACAACTGGGTTTTAGTCCGATTCTACCATGAAGTGGTTGGAATGACCTTGGAAAAGCCTTTCCCCCAACTCCGGGCCTGTTTCTTCCCTCTACATAAACATCTCACTTTTCTGCAGCATCTTTATGTTTGCCAAGTGCTTTCTTCATTAATGTGCCCATGAGGTAGGTAGTGGAAATCTCAGACCAGGGCAGTGACTCGCTCAAGGTCACTCATCTAGCAATGGGCAGAGCTAAACCCCGAACGGGCTGGATGGGCTCTGATCTTCTACCGGCTCCTTGGAAGCCCTGTCTTTCCCCTAACCAAAGCCTAACCCTTGACAGTGTCGCCCTTCGAGGGCTCTTTTGCCCTCCTGAGGATCTGAGTGGTGCCAGAAATCTAGATCCATTTTCCAGCTTCTTGGGACTCTGGGGAAGCGCATTTGGACACAGGGTAGATTTAAGAGTATAAAGGCTGCCCTGAATATCTCCTGGGGGTGGGACACAAATAGGAGGACAAGGTACTGAAACCGGGACTCCCAAATACCAAGCCGGGCTGCCCAAAACTTACATTTCTGCAACTCTGAGACCACACCCACCTCATTTTGCCCCTCCGAAAAATGGGGCCCCATCGCTCACCAACCCCATTCTTCCGAAGTCCAGTCCGGGAGAGGAAGCCTGGGGGAGGTGGGGGGGGGGGGAAAGGCCCAGGGCCCACAGCTTTATTGTGGTTCTGAGAGTTGCCTCCCGCTGAGAGGGGAAGGAATCGGGGGAGAGGGGCCCGCCAGATGCCCCACCCAGAGAAGCTCGCTCAGCTGTGCTTGTCCCGCTCAGGGCGCCCGCGGTCCCCGCAGTTTCCGCCCGGCCGCTGCGTCCATCCATTGGCTCCAGCTGGCGTCCGTCCGAGGCAGCGGCTCCCTCCTCCTCCTCCGCGGCCTCAGTGCTGGGGGGAAGCCGGGCCTCGGGGGGGGCTCCGGCGGAAGGGGGAGTCGGGCTCCGGGGAGGCGGCGGCTGGCCCGGCCCCGGCCCTCCGCAGGCGGCCGGCGGCCCAGGGCACGCAGCCGCCCAGGCCCAGGGCCGAGGCGAGCAGGGCAGGCGGGCGGGGCCGCTTGCCGCGCCGCAGCCCCTTCTTGGCCCGCTGCCCGTGGGCAGCCAGGTAGAGCTCGGCCTGGGAGACGCTGCCGCCCAGGCGGCTCAGGCTTTCGGCGCGGTGCGCCAAACGCAGCTCGGCCGCCAGGAAGACGCGATGGAGATGCTGCACCCGGCTCTCCAGCTCCGACACCACCCGCCGCCTGCCTTCCACCTCTAGCAGCCGCCGCCGGGCTTCAGCCAGCTCCAGCGCCCGGCTGCCTGCCGCTGCCGCGCCCGCCGCGCCGTGCCCACCGGGCCGCCAGCGCTGCAGCTCCAAGCCGCGCCCCGCACCCTTCTCCGCTGCCGCCGTCGCGGTCGCGGTGGTGGTCCCAGGGGCTGCAGGAGGGGGCTGAGGGGGTGGTGATGGAGGCGGGGAGCCCGGCTCATCCGCGGGGTCCGAAGAAGCAGGAGAGGAGGGCGGAGGAAGGGAGAGGGGAGGGGGAGGGGGCGGTGGCTCCCCCGGGCGGGGCGCTGCGCCGCAGGCGCTGATGCGGCACCCCGGCATCCCGCCGCCCCCCGGCTGGGCTCCCTCCGGAGAAAGCTGCCGCGGGGACTCCGCTGGGAACCTAAGCGAGGACCACGGAAAGCGACTGCGCCCCGACAGACCCTCTGAAGAACGAGCTCCAAGGGGCCTCTTATAGCGAGCGAGGACGGGGCGGAGCGATGGGCAGCAGAGCCAATAAAAGAGGCCGCAGGGCCCCGGGACCACCTCCTCTGCGCTGAGCCCCACCTTGCTCTCCTTAGACTCGGTCCTTTTGCCCCTAGTCCCTTGGTCGCATCTCTACCTCCGCTCCCGGTGCCCGCCCCGCCCGGCTACCCCATCCGCCTTCCCATTCCTTTCCATCCTTCACCAGGACTGTTACAAGTTCCAGTAGTCTGTGTTCAGAGGTCTACTTCACTTCTGACATTGTAATATTCTAAGAGTCCCCCTCCCCCCTCTGGCATTTTATGTTCTAACGTTCTGTGTTTCAACATTATAACGCCCTTACGACTCTGACATTCTAGGAGGCTCTAAGGCCCCATCCAGGTCTCACATTCCCAGCTCTGACATTCTAGATTCTGAATGTAGAGGAAGCTCTCCCAGGGCTTGTGACCGCATACCTGGTAAAGCTGGGGAAGTAGGCAGAGGTGCTCCCCTTCTCATGCTTGAGTTGAGTTACCTGGTCCCATCTGGTAAAAGGTGAATGGGAGAGGATCAGTACCTCTCTGCTGTCGTTCTGCGGGATCCAGAGCAAGTTTCTTGTGTCCCTGAATTGGGCTGGTTCAAGGATATTCTACTTTTGGCAGCCTCCCATCCCCTCAAAGCCAAGTCTGGAGCCGTTACTCCAGGCAGGTGACTGCGATCTCCAACAAATACTCAGCCCTTGGTAACAGAAAGCATGGCACCGGAGTTAAGATGCCAATTCTACTGGGTCACTTTCTCTCCTCTGCCACTGTGTCCTCGTGAAGATCCTGGCATATCAGGGGAAGAGGGACGCTTACCTTCTCAATCACCCCACCTTTTTTAGTATTTTCAGGAAGTAGAGGCTCCCACTGAGAAGGGGAACCAGATGCCAGACAATGGCCAGGTACCGCAATCAGATCTCAGCTTACCCATTTCCCTAGGAATCCTAGGGATTGGATGACTCTAGGATAGACAGGAGTGGGATTTAATGGGATGATAGGTAGAGATTAGACCAGAGGTGGGGAACCTGTGGTCTTTTATTAAGAGGATTTGTTCTGTGAAGTTTGGATTCAGTCAAAGGGCTGCACTTGAGGACCTAGAGGTCTCAAGGCTGAAGGTTCCCCACCCCTGGACTAGACCTAGGGACCTCCAGGATGAGGAAACTCCCTCTACCAATATAGGTCAACACCTCTGCAACTAATGAGCTTAGAGTTACCTAAAGCACTGAGAGATTCAATGACTTGCCCAGGGTCTTACAGTCAGCATGTATCAGCAGGTCTTCCTGGTTCTGTGACCGGTTTTCCATCCACTATGGCATGATACTTCTTTCTCCAAGAGTCTAGATCTGAGTTGTGGGACCAAGGAACAAATATGCAGAGCATAGAGTTTATTGACATTGGCAAAGCTATTCAAAAGGTATATATTAAGTGTTTATTGTATGAAAGTTGCAACTACTGTTCTGAGAATACAAAAATGAAGCATCACCTGCCTCCAAGGGTACCTAACCAGGCGGGGCATGCTAAGGGGTCAAGCCACTCGTTTTGTTTTGTTTTTGGCTAGCCAATGGGGTTAAGTGACTTGCCCAAGGTCACACAGCTAGTAAGTGTTATATGTCTGAGGCCAGATTTAAACTCAGGTCCTCCTGACTCCAGGGCCGGTGCTCTATCCACTGCACCACCTAGCTGCTCCTCAAGCCACTCTTAAGGAGCTTTATCCCCTGATCATGGAGGCTTTATGGAAAATAAGTATAAGAATAAGCCTGCACACGTTTAGCAAGCCCTTGTTGTGATGGTCAAAATGCTTTTGCATACATCATCTCATGGCTTGATGTCTCTGCATGGAAAGATACCTAAACTGGACTCATAGAGTCTGGGAGATGGAAGGTCCTTAGGCTTCCATGTCCTCCACTCTATACCCCTAAGGAATCTCACTATAGAATACTCAGCAAGTGGTCATCCAGCCTCTTCCTGAAGACTTCCCATGAGGAGGAATCCATTGCCTCCCAAGGCAGCTCATTACACTTCTGGACAACTCTATCAATTAAGAATTCTGTCCTGACACTATGCCTAATATATAATTTGCAGCTTCTAACCACTGTTCCTGGCTCTGCAATCTGGGACCAGAATAATTCTCATCCCTCCCTCATCTGGTAGTCCTTTGGATACTTGAAGACAATGATCATGTCCTTCCTGAGTCTTCTCTTTTCCAGTCTAATGACCTGTCAAGATCTCTGAAAACTGGTTTCAGTGTCTCTAGTTGAGGGACTGGGACTCAGTGAGGGTAGAGGAACTAAGGAAGGGGGATGAGTACTCTGTGTGGGGGATGGGGACTCACTGAAGACCTGGGGGCTCAATGAAAAGACAGAGGTTCAGGGAGGGAGACAGAGGCTCACTGTGGGGGGTAAGCACTCAGTATATAGGATCGGGGCTCACTGAGGATCTAGGAGTCCAATGATAGGATGACAGTTGAGGCAAGGCCTCTGAGGGTAAACCATAAAGGTAGGAGCTCAGTGAGAGGGGGTGACATACAACATGTGGGATGGAAGATTTCTGTGAGGATTTGGAGCTCAGTGAGGAGATGAGGTCTCAGCAGGATGTGTAGAAAGACAGATAAGTCTTCGAGGAGCTGAAGGTTCATTACTTGCTGGCCACAGGCAGATTAGGGTATGGTTTTCTATTCAGTACGCCTTCTTCTTTGAGCATAAACAAATCACATTTCTCTCCGGGAGAAAGTTGAATGACAAGTGCTGCCTATGAGTCACACAGTTATTTTCATCCTACTCAGGGCTGGACCTTTTGGGGGGAGGGATTGGGATGAAGGATAGAGAATCAGGGAGAATGGAGGCTCCTCAAGAAGAATGAGCATTCAGAATGGGGAATAATATAACTAACATACATAGATGCACGAAGGTTTGCAAAGCCCTTTAATATATTAATCATTTGATCCTCATCATAACCCTTTGAGATTATCCCCATTTTACAGATGAGGAAACTGAAACAGATTAAGTGACTTGCCAACGGTCACATAGCTGCTAAGCACACGAGGTGGAGTTTGAACTCATATTTTCTTGACTCTAGGCACTGTGCTCAATCTCCTACACCAAATTGCTTCTTATCTGAGAGTTCAGTGAAGGGTCTAGGGGCTTAAAGAGACTCGTTGGGGAAAGGTAGGTATTAGTGAGGGGAGTAGGGTGAGACAAGTGGAGAGTGGTAGACTGAGGAAGCTGAAGAGATGGGGGGGTAGATAGGGGACACGTGGTGGGGAGGAGGTTGGAAGCCTGGAGAAACCCAACGGACAGTCACCACCCCAGGAAGAGTTAAGAGGCCAAAGTGGGGAGGTCAAACACTGAATATCAAGGTAAGGGACATCATATGCCCAGCCACGGAATCTGTCTGGAGGGAGAGGGAGTGAAAGAGAAGGCTTGAGAAGCATGCTTCTGGAGACCCAGGTCATCAACCTCCCTGAGGTATCCCACATGAGCCAGGGAGGAATATACACATCCCAGCCTTCTTTAATCCTCCCACTGTGGCTGTCATCCCAGGGTGATCTGGGACCTTTCCACCCAAGGAAGGTAATACCATTTCCTCCTGGGTAGGCTCAGAGTGAAGTTTGTTTCCTTTGCTCAAAAACTACCCTGCCCAAGCCACAAGGTGGTGGGAGAGGGGCTCCACAGGTAAGTTTCTCATATAACTAAATCTGGGGCTTATTCTCCTACCACTTCTGCTTCTCTGATTTTTGTCTCTTTCCTTCTTCATTGTCTACCCCTCACCTCCTTTGACCATGGAGCTCTCCCTTCCCTTCATTGATTAGGGCTCTCAGTCAAGATTAGATTCAGGGATGGAGCTAGGGGTTGGTGGAGATGGAGAGGGTGTTCTGGAGGGGATTCAGGGAGAAGCTTAGGAGATGGAGATTTAGGGCCCCTAAATCGTGGGGCGGGTGAATTAGCTGGTCTCTAAGGTCCTGTGAAGTTCTAATATTCTCTATTCTAAAGTCCTTTCAGCTTGGACATTCTGTATTCTATGGTTTAAGGTCATTCCCAATTCCAATATTCTAACATTCTAAGATTCTGATTTTTTTTAGATTCTAAGACTCCCTCCATCCTCTACCCTGTCTTGAAGGGTTGTCTTTACCCGCACTTCTTGGGCAAGCTATCTATCTGTAACTCAGTGGGGAGCGAGGATCTCAGGTCACTGACTTGCTGCTATGTAATAATAATAACAATAAGAATAATCTCTCCATCCTGTATGTAGTTTATCCTTGCTTTCTCCATTCCCAAAGGACGAGGAGGTGTTCCAATAATACTAGCTAGCATTTATATAGAGATTTAATATTTGCAAAATGCTTTACAAATATTATCTCATTTGATCCTCACAACATCCCTGGAAGGCAAATGCTATTATTATTCCCATTTTATAGGTGAGGAAACCGAGGCAGACAGAAGGTAAATGACTTGCCCAGGATCACATAGATGGTGTCTGAGGCTGTATTTGAACTCTGTTCTTCCTAGCTGCAGACCTAGCTGTGCCCCTTCGTTGTTAGTAAGTAGTGTCCCACTCCTCTTGACCCTATTTGGGGTTCTCTTGGCAGAGATACTAGATCGGTTTGCTATTTACTTCTCCAGCTCAATTCACAGATTAGGAAACTGAGGCAAACAAGGTAAGTGACTTGCTCAGGGTCATGCAGCCTGAGGCCAGATTTGCACTCAGGAAGAGGAGTCTTCCTGACTCCAGGCTCAGCACTCTACCCACTGCACCACCTAGCTGCCCCTCACTGTGTCCCCTACCTGCTGCTGCTGTATCTTCCTCCTCCTCTTCCTTCTCCTGCCTTTTAGCTGTAGCCTCAGTAGCCTCTGACCTCATGCATGCCTGCTACTGCTTCCTACTTTCTAAAGTGCTTTCCCGTTCATTAACTCATTTAGTTCCCCCAATGACCCAGCGAAGGAGGCATGACCGCAGGGTTATCCCCATTTTACAGATAAGGCAGCTCAGTGAGAGGCAGGGCAAGGACCCAGACTTTTTCTTTTTTCTGTTCCTTTAAAATGTCTTACTTATGTTATTTTCTTTTTTCTTGATGATTCCCCATCCCTCACAATAGAACCTTCCCTTCCTCCACATATGGACTGACCAGCACAGGACAGCCATCTCCCTC